AAAAAAAAAAAAAAAAAAAAAAACACAGAGAGATGGATTCAAGATCGGACAAGAGAGGAATCTGGGTTTGGATCACGATCTTGACGGCTGTTCTTGCCAGGTCCTGTAATGGAGGAGCCACAAGTGGGTTTGTAAGAGGAGGAGATTTATCCAAAGACATGCCTTCACACAGCGACGTCTTCTCTCTCCCTTCTGGTTACAACTCTCCCCAACAGGTTCAAATCCAGTTTGATGTTTTTTTTTTAAAAAAAAATGTGAAATTCATTCATGGGTTTTTTATTTTTTGGGTGAGAGAAGGTGCACATAACGCAAGGGAGCTACGAAGGAGACGGAGTGATAATTTCGTGGGTGACCCCGGACGAGACTGGTTCCGACATCGTTCGTTACTGGTCTGAAAACGGCGGCCGCTCGAGGAGAAAACTAGCGAAGTCCGCCGTTGTTGTCACTTACAAGTTCTTTAACTACACCTCTGGTTACATCCATCACTGCACCATCGATGGTTTAGAGGTTTCTTCCTCACCTTCGTTTCTCATAAAATTCTTTCGAATCTCTTTGCCTTAATCTATTTCGAGTTTCGGGGTTCGGTTATTTCAGTTATAAAAAATGTAACGATTCGTTTTTTTTTATATCAAATTCATTCGGTTCGGTTCGAATTCAGTTTTTATTGATAAAAATACATAATTTAACAAAAACGGTTTTTTCGATTTTTTTTATCCGGTTCACTCATTTTTTCGGTTTTTTGGTAAAAATTTTCAGTTTTTTCGATTTCTTTGTTGGTAAAAATATTCAATTTTAGATTTGATTATTTCGGTTATAGAAAAACAATATCATTCAATCTTTATTTATTAAATTCGGTCCATATCTATTCGATAAAAATACTCGGTTAAAAAAATCGATTTTTTTTCAATCATTTTTTTTTATTCGGTTCGGTTTGGATTCAGTTTTATCGGATTTAGATAAGTAATAACAATTTCGGTTTTATGTAGGATTCGGTTCGGTTATGGTTATGGTTTATTCGGTTTGGTTCGGTTATTCATAATCCCATCATCTTATTCTTCTTCAAATGTTTATGCAGTTCGATACGAAGTATTACTATGAAATCGGAGACGGGGAGACAAGAAGACAGTTCTGGTTCGTAACTCCGCCTAAACCTGGTCCTGATGTTCCGTACATCTTCGGCCTTATCGGTACTTTCTCTTCACTTTCAAATTCTTTGACATGAATTCTTATGTGAATGAATGGTAACAGTTGGTTAATCTTTTGTTGTGGAAATTCTTCAGGGGATTTAGGGCAAACTTACGATTCGAACCGAACATTGTCTCATTACGAGATGAACCCACAGAAAGGGCAAACTATGCTGTTCTTGGGCGACTTATCTTACGCCGATAGTTACCCGTTCCACGACAATGCCCGTTGGGATACTTGGGGAAGGTTTACAGAGCGGATCGCTGCTTACCAACCCTGGATATGGACCGCAGGCAACCACGAGATCGATTTCGTTCCCGAGATCGTAATGTTTTTTCGTTTCTCTTGCATCTATTTCGCCGTTTTCTCGTACGATCGGTACAAATTTCGGGTCGCGTTTGTTTTTTGCAGGGCGAGACGAAACCTTTCAAGCCGTATGTTCATCGGTATCCTACACCGTATCAGGCGTCGGGAAGTACATCTCCTATGTGGTATTCCGTCAAGAGAGCTTCGTCTCATATCATAGTTTTGTCAGCTTACTCGTCTTTCGGTAAGTGTGGCCGATGTTTCCGAGATGTTCCCTTTACCGGATGTTAGTTGCTTATAAGGATTTTGGACAGGGAAGTACACTCCTCAATACAAATGGTTGGAGAAAGAGTTCCGGAGAGTGGACCGGACTGTGACTCCATGGCTCATCGTCCTCGTGCATTGCCCGTTCTACAGTAGCTACGTTCATCATTACATGGAAGGCGAGACGATGAGAGTCATGTACGAGCCGTGGTTTGTCCGGTACAAGGTCGATGCAGTGTTCGCGGGTCACGTTCATGCATACGAGAGATCCGTAAATCTTCTGCCTGCTCTCGTTACTTATTAGAGATATGGACCCCAATCGGTCCCCAATGATATTACGACAGTAATATCCCAATCTCGGCTTCACGAGACTCGAATACCCGCAACTGATGGCTGGGTACCTGCGGGTACTTAAACCCGCAAAAATCTGCAAATTTCTATTGATCTAAATCGGCTGGTATAATGATAATTTTATACAAAAATACACCTAGATATTATAGTCGCCCTAAAACTAGGGTATAAAAGTCATTTTTCATGTTGGCGGATACCCGCGGGTAATCACCACTCGACGGAAAAATTGAATCCAAACCCGTAGCCAAATTCCACATTTCAGGTAACCATGAGATGGGTATCGAGTTTTAAAGCCCACCCCGATTACTCGCCCGCTGAAACTATGAAAAAGTGAGTTCTTGACAAAACCGATTGATGATGCAGGAACGTGTTTCGAACATTGCTTACAACATCGCGAACGGAAAATGCGAGCCGATATACGATGACTCGGCTCCTGTTTACATAACAATAGGAGATGGAGGAAACCTGGAAGGCTTGGTTACCGAGTAAGTTTCGAGATCTAACCTTGCTCCTTCGATATTTTTTTTTTTCGTGACCCCGTTTGTTGGTGGTTTGAGCAGGATGACACAGCCGCAACCAAGCTATTCGGCCTACCGAGAAGCTAGCTTTGGGCACGGGATACTGGAAGTAAAGAACAGGACTCATGCCCGCTTTAGCTGGCATCGGAACCAAGATGGGTATTCTGTAGAAGCCGATTCTCTTTGGCTGCGTAACCGATACTGGAAACCTACAGAAAAATCGCTCGCTGCCGCATTATAAAAATCGGAAAATCATGTTTGGCAATGTATCCTTGCTTACCATAAGACTATGATTCTCTCAGATTCCTCAAAGCTGCCCTTATTTCTTTCAACATCTCGTCTATGTTAATACCTCTCCTGCCAAAAATGTTTTTTTCCTTCAGACATGGATTGTTTTTAGGACAACAATACGATGTGTTGTACTACCCAAAACAAATCTCGGGAGAAGGAACGAGAAAAACTTACAATACGCTGACCCCCATAACGGCGAGAGGTCGAGAATTGCCATTGAGCTCTTCTCCTATAGTTTCCCGATATGATGCATCTTCTTCGTCTTTGTCGAGACCGTCGTTTTCGGAGCGATTTCGTAGTTTAGAATGAAACTTATCGGTTTCGGTTCCGAGAATCTCTTCGGTAATGTGTGGAAGCCTCTCTCTTGCCTGGATTGCGGAATTTTTCGGTAAGAACCGTGAAAGAAACTGCTTTTGTCTGTCCTGATGAATGGTAAGTTACCTGAGGAAGATCAATCTTGTTAAGAACCACGATGAAAGGGCGTGTAACGTAATCTGGATTGTACATCCTCAGCTCCTGAAAATAACCAAAAAAAACCCCCACAAATGTATCATCGAGCGAAAGAAAAACAAAGGCGAAGCCTTTCATGAGTTCTTGAATATACTCCGCCAAAATGTGTCAAGGAGGCAACCTTCCTAAGAAAATAACGAAGACAGTGGAAATTGCTATGGTTCAGAAATCCGATTTTGATACACAGATTAACCCCTACTACATACTCAGAGCTAGACCTGGCAAAAGAAACCCAAATTTCAGGTATGTGACCCAACTCGCAGGTCGGATATTCAGCTACTATGTGAGATGAGATCGGGTTGGATCATGAGAAAAACCTGAGAATCGGGTTTTGGATAATTGGGAGCGGGGCGGGTATTACCTGATACCGAATGAACAAAAATGTACCTTTTGACCCTAATTTTAAAATAAATTACATACAAGTGTTCTAAACCGAAATCTCTCAAAATTTTGGGCATCCACCTAAGCCAACACTGGTGACTGGTATATGATACAACATTTTGAAAAAAGGTCGACATTCTGCATTTGGACCTCAGGTTTGGGTGTCCAAAATTATCTACCAAACAGATCCAAGATAGATAATATCTCATAAAACCCGAGACGTTCGGATTCGGTAACCCAAATATCGCGGGTACCCCCCACCCACATCCATCCCTAGAGATAGCAGCTCAAATGGAATGGTTTGACAGAAGGAGAGACGAAGCAAAACTAACTGGTAGGTGAGTTAAAGACATTCATACTTCTCTGACAGTTAAGTAATCATCAACTGGATTCTCTGCAGCAGCATCGACCACATGGACTAAGAGTCGGGTCCGTCTTAGATGCCTCAAAAAGTTGCGTCCAAGTCCCTAAAGATGCCGGAAGATTCAGAAAATATCGATGAGAATTCAAAGGAAAAGACGAGAGGAAGAGCCCTACCTTCCCAAGGTGAGCACCTTCTATAAGGCCAGGCAAATCAGCCACAGTTGCTTCAGACGAAAACTCATATGGACCTAACAAAGGATCACCCTCTAGGCGGCCAAGGTTCGGTATCAGGGTGGTGAATGGATAATCGGCTATATCGGGTTTTGCCCGTGTTATAGCTGCTAAAAGGGTAGACTTTCCGGCATTTGGAAGACCCTAAAGAGGAAAAAAAATGAAGTCTTGATGATCGGAATCGGAAGTAGAAAAATCTATGAGTCAGTTTTCGGTGGCATGTTTGAACGAAAACGAAAATGGAAAGGCTTACCACAAGACCGACATCTGCTACAATTCGTAGTATCAGTTCCAAGCTAACCTCTTCCCCTTGTTGCCCATGAACTAGAACCTGAAAGTTCAACCCACCCGAAACCGATCAGAAAAACGAATGGCTTGCTTGAATGATCACACCATCGATTAAGGTAAAAGAAAAAAAGAACTCAAATGAAAGGCTTGGCCGCTTGCCCGATATCAATGCCTTACCTTGTCACTATCATCTCTCATTACATTTGTTGTTAAAGACATTACCCGCTTCCTTGTCTTCTCCGGCACTTCTAACAAGCTAATCTGACCGAGAACAGGGACAGAACACGTTAACAATGAGCAGACTTTGTAATGCATTTTCAATCATGTCTAGGAAAAACATGGCTTCTAGTAATCATGGAAGAGAAATCTTACTCCTCCCTGACCGCCCCTTGCAGCAAGAACCTCGTCCCCGGGATGTGAAAGATCGGCCAGCAACTTCCCCCGCTTAAGTTTCACGACGGTTCCTACGAAATCAGAAATGGTTAAGGATACAATACAAATGAGAAGAACTGAAATGGCATAAAACTAAAGCAGTATACAAACCTACAGGGACTGGAATTCGCAAGGTAGGAGCTCCTATTCCATCACGAAGTTGCCAGGTTAAGCCACCCAAGGAATCGACATTCCCGCCCCGTTTGGCGCTGTACCTTTTCTGATTATGAAGTTCCAACAAAGAATCTTTCTCCTCATCTGCATATATCACCACATCCCCTCCATGACCGCCCACTGGAAGTATAACCGACCCATCATAATCTCTCTTGTAAGACGGATTTCTTCGCTTGGTCTTGTCCTTTCGGGATTTCCCCTGTGACTTGTCTGGTCTTTGGTTAGGCATGGTCAGGACTGCACCATGACCACCATCGCCGGCACGAACAGTGATGATCACTTGATCAAAGTACTTATGAGGCTCTTTCACGAGCGAAGTCGTATTTTCGGGTGATGAAAACTGTTGAACCACGGATGACCTGCACCAAATCTTGAAGAACCCTAGTCTTCCATTTCTGTTCTTCCCCAAATCAAGCCTGGATAACAAGAAACAGTACAACAAAATGCTCATGAATCTTCTGAATAACGCACTCGACCTCCATTATAGGTTGAACAAAGAACAAGGAGGAGACAACAGTCTGCATCCATGAATGAGTTAAACCCAAAACCGGAAATTCCAAACTCGAGAAAACCCAGAAGAAAAAAGCACTCGAATTCGCTAACCAAAACAAGCAAAGAGCAGCATTCAGAAAGCAGAGCAAACGGAAATCGATTCCAAAGATGAAGAAAAAAGAACAGAAGAAGATAAAACAATTAGTACCTCTGGGTGAAACCCTGAGCCAAGCTTAGCTTACAGTCTCGGCCATGGCGAAGAGAATGATGAGAAGATGATGGTAGAGAGAGAGAGAACGCCATTTTCCCGAACAAAGCCAGAGCTAACCTGTGAAGGAGATAAGGAAAAGGGGACAGAGATGGGTGGGGCCTTTTGGGCCTTGGAGCATCAGTCTAGTCCGGTTTAATTCGGTCCGGTTTAATTTTCTCCGCTACCGATTATATCAACCACAATTAACCAATCATGAGTCCTCGCCCAGAACCCTCTGGATCAGAAAGAGGCTCTTGGAACATTCAGGAAAAGTAGAGGTAAACAGAGAGAATCAAATTCCCTCTTTCCCCTCTCTCCTCTCCAGTTCGCTCGCTTCCATGGCGTGTGCACAGCAGCCACTCAAGAAGCGAAGGCTCTACGAGGCAATCTCCGAGCCACAGTCCCCTTCCCCTCCGACGCAGAAGCCTCCGACGCCGTTGCAAGAATCCCCTCCCCCTCTGCCGCAGCCTACGGCGGGCTCCGTCGCTGAGCCGGTGGCACCGTCGCAGGAGGAAATTCTCGCCAGGAGCAGGAACAGGGACGAAATTAGGAGCCTTCATGAGTCCTATAGTCGTCTCAAATCGTGTATTTCTCATAAAAATGGCGGTCGTGCTTCGACGACGCTCGAACAGGCCTATCGCACCCTCATCTCCGCTTCCAGAGGTTTTTTTCTCTCTTTCTCATTTCTCGACTTTTGGAATTAGTGTCTTGATGAATAGGACGTGAATACTTCATCTTCGTATTTGTCGGTGTCGATCTAATTCGATTTTCTCTTCTTCGGTTGAGTTTAGTAGTTTTAGATGGACTTTGTTGGGAAAAAGGGCAAATTTCATCAGGATTTTTCTATGGAAATATAAAATTAGCGTTTCTCCCGGAAATAATAGAGTGTTTTAATGATTGTTCATGATCCTTAGCTCTTGCACTATGATTCTCGTGTCTGAACTAGCTGCAAATGGAATGAATAAACAGCAGAAGAACATGAAATCAGACCCCATTTTAAGGCATAAGATAGTTGAATCTGAAGATAATTTCTCAGGGGTATAGAACTCAACTGTGAACTTGTACCTTAGTTTCTCCAAGGTTTTAAACTAAGTTGCTTTGTAGAATCTAAATACCGGGAATTCGTTTTCTCTAGCATTCTACTGACTTGATCAAGTCATAACTGTCATATTGGGCTTATAATTGCCAATTGGCTAACTCGTTCCTTGACAACCTTCATTCGAAGTTCTTTACTATAATGTGGAGCATTACTACTAGTTAGTTTTTCTCTGTTCTTTTCCTTTTTTAATTCTAGAAATGCCTGCCCTCATAGATTTGTTGACCGAGGAATTTGATCAGTTATGTCTAGGTGCCTGATATGTGTTCAGAGACCAGCCATAGCATTGAGTAGGACCTATAGCTTTTTAGACACTGTGTCCGTTTCATTTATTTGTAAGGTGTGGTTCTGGTGCATATTATCTGGAAAACTTGTTTCAGTAGCTCGGTTGTGAAAAGAAACGGATTGTAATGGAATAATGAGGTCAGAAAATTTAAGTCCGCCTACTTTAATTTCAGTGAAAAACATGTGCCTAACTTTCTCAGATAGTGAGATAGGTGCTAATCTGTCATAATCGATGGCAGATTTTGTCCTTTGTAAAGATACAATCATAAAGGACGAAGATTTTTTGAAGTTCTGAAATTGTAGTTTGCTTACTGCTGCAGGTTGTACTAGTGCTAAGCGTCTTGCAGCTGATCTTGTTCCTCGATATGCGCCATACTGTCCTTCTGCTATTGAGGTTGCACTGCAAGCTGTCATCGACATGCATAACTGCAGCCTTGAAGCATTAAGAAAAGCAGAAGATGCTGATGGTGTTGCATTTCAAACTGCTAAAGCCTGTATATGTGGTCTATTTGATCTGTGTTCTGCAGCTTCTTTAAAGATAACATCTTCATCTGTTCCCCGGGATATCTGTTCTGCTGTTTTCCGGAACGTTTTTACCTTCCTTGTGTCATCCTTTGAGGCTAAGGATATCTTCCAGATAGTTGATAAGAATGTGTTGAAGCTGCAAGATTCTGATGAAATTTTTTGTCAGCTGATGCAGAAACTTTCGCATGGAGATGTATCACCACTGGTCAAACTATCCCAGTTTCGTGTTTTATCTCTACTGAAAATTTTCTTTTGCTTCCCCAAGAACTCGATTGCAACCTGCTTTGGATTCTTGAATTCATCATCAACAGAAGACATTGACAAGGGGAGGTATCTCATAACTCGTCTGACAAACAAGATCTATGATATCGATATAGTTAGTTATGAGCCTGAATCAGATGAGAATTCTGTTCAGACAAGTACTAAGGACATAGAGGCTACTGGCCAAGAGCCAGATGGAGCCAGTGGGATTCCAGAAGAATCTCAAATTCTGAATGGCTGCTTGTTAGGAATGGTAATACTAGTTGGAATCACATTCAGATGTCAATTCCTTTTTTTTTTTTGCATCTAAGCTGAGCAATATGAAAATTGACAATAAGGTATCACTTGTGGATTTATTTTTATTTGTTTAGGGCCTCCACAGCTCCACTTCTGTTAATTTTCCTTCCTCGCATAAGCATTAACAGTTTAGCTTGCTTTATTCATTTGCTCAGTTTCTATGCAACCCTAGCTAGCTTTAGTGTTGTTATTGTCTACTGCTACACACTTATAGTTTCAAGAACTGCTTTCCTTAATGTAGGTTCTTAGGAAGAATAAATCACTCTGCAGGTGGGCTTTCATTAAGTATAAGAGAATGTGCAGCTTGTCTTCCTTCAAGGATGTGTCCAGCACTATACCTTCTCTAGATGATATCTTTGAAATTGTTGGAAAAGGTATCAAGCTAGAAGACTGCCATATGGAGAGTGATGAGGATGATTCCGGAAAAGTTTCAGCTTCACGTGTAAAACCTCACAGCTCTGCTGAAAACGATGTCCGCTCTAGTGCTGGATCTGTTTATGACACCGGGGGCTCAAGGTCTATGGACTTTGAGACTGTTGACCAGAGAGATCTGTCATGTGGTAGATCTTCTGTGCCAAGAGGGTTAACCAATCATCATACGCCTTCTCCCGCTGCAAGACTGCCTTCAGAGTTAAGGAGTAACTCATCAGAGGGTAGGAACAACTTTATTCATGCAGGATCTCCTAGTTATCAGGCAGCATCCGGTGGTCTGTCATCTTCCCAAATTGTTTGGTACCTAGATGGGAATCCCACTGCTTTTGACATCTATTCAGTTTCTGGGCAGCTATGGTTAGGCAGTATAGGACCAGATGAATCTGAAGGCCATCTAAGGTTTCAGCTTGATAGATATGGTCCAGTAGATCGGTTCTTTTTCGATCCAGTTAAGGGACTTGCCCTAGCTGAATATAGAAGTATAATTGATGCAATAAGAGCTCGAGAATATCTGCGAGCGCAATTTCCTTGGAGTATAAAATTCATGGATATAGGACTTGGTACCAGGGGCTCTGTAAATGGGGTAGCATATGGTTATAGTGCTCATGTGTATGTTGGAAGAATTTCAAGCCAGTGGGAGAGGGATGAAATTGTGTATGAGACAAGGAAAGCCCTTTATAAGGAACCTCGCATGGTCACAGACCTTTATTACGAGAATGCTCTCCTGATGGAATTCGATACTCCTGATGAAGCTGCCGTTGTGATGGTTCATTTGAGGTTCTACCGCAAGGAAAAGCTCTTCCTTTGCCCCATGAAGATGGAGGAAGGTATGTTTCATCTACTTCTTAGCAATGTTCTTTGAGGAACTTTTAATTGGTGAGTTTTGCTCATATTGGATGATTTCTCTCTTTTTTATTTTGCTCTCTTCTCACGCTAGCAATTTATGTTATATTAGTTCACAATAGTTTACGTGAAAGTTCTTCTCTAAACAGTCATCTGGAGAGGCACCATCAAATACCTTCCACATTAAAACCCGAGTGTGGCTCTGGTGATTTTGTCTCCCCACAAATGAACCCGGAAGATCACGCCAATCCTGTACCTTCTGAAGCTACGTTTCAGCAAAACTGGCCTGCTTCTAGTAGCACTGTTGTGAATCCTGCTCAAGGAGGTCAGTCTTTTTTTGTCTTTTCTCGCTCTTCTGAAACAAGTTTTCTATGTGAAATGATATTTCCTTTTATGACCAATAACCGTTTTAGAGAATCTGAGACAATGTTCCTCAATCTCAGGAAATCCTGCATCTATTCCCATGTCAGCACCAGGACCTCCTCTTACACCAATACCTCCAGTTCCACAATCTCCATTTGTTCAACAACCTGTTTACCCTCCTCCAAATAGTTCCTGGGATATGAGACCTCTAGGTCATTACCTGCCAGTTAACCCCATTTCCCCAAATGGTAATGCTGTGGCTCCACCATCACAGATTCAAGGACCTCTGGGCCAGCATGTCGGAACCAGTGCTTATACAGCTCCATTCATGGCTCCTCCTGTGAACCCAGTGGTTCATACCCAGGGACCTCCGGGTCAGCATTTTGACCAGTCGTATCCACCTCCTCCTTTACCACATCCGTTATCTCAACCCCCACCACCACCACCAGAAATGTTGCCCCCTCCGCCCCCTCCTTCGGTTCCTCCTCCACCAAGTTCTCCCCCTCCACCTCTTCCGCCTCCACCAGTTCCAGCTGTTGTGGATACGACTGAATCAGAAGCTTCCAAACAAAGAGTAGCACTCCATTGGCAGGGAGTGTTGTCAAAGAGCGGAGTTCATTACTGCACAATATATGCTGAAAGATTGGAATCGGAGATCTGCAAATACTTCAATGCCGTTTCAGAACCCGTGGAGTGAGTGACCGCCCTCTCACTGTCATCGCTTCCCTGTGTTCGAATTATTTTTTTTTTCTCTAAATCCTACATTTTTTCCTTCCTGCAGATGGCCGAATAAACTTGATATGACCAAGCGCGTAAATCTGCAGCATGTGAAGTCTACATTTACCCACACTCCACCGCAGAGAGTGAGTTTGCTCGATGCGTTTCCTCGACCAACTTTGTCGCTCTCTTGAATACTGATGTTGACCTCTTTTTTTTTTTTTCCCTTTTTTTTTTTTTTTTTTTTTTTTTTTTGCAGAGGGAGGTTTGTCAGTTAATCCCCTCGACCATGGGAGACCATAAAGGGGTAAATTTCTGTCGCTCACGAAAAGCCATATCTCGAAACAATTAAGCTTACCGAGTTTTGTTTTGATATTCTTTTTTTTTTTGGCAGTTCCAAGATTTCATATCGTACCTGAAACAGAGGGATTGCGCAGGAGTGATCAAGATCCCAGCCACAAGTTTCATGTGGGCAAGGCATCTGTTCATTCTTCCTTACTCACAAGACACTTGTTCCTTGCTTTCAATCTCGCCGCCCTCTTCAGAATGCATGATCGGTTTGGTTTTACCAAAGGAAACAAATCCCGAGTGAACGTAACGGCAATAGCCAATGTCACTCATTACTCCGCGAGTGAAAGGCGAAAGGCATAATCCCGATTCCCGGGTAATGTTCTCGAGGATTCGATTCGACACAAAACTAATTTTGTAAATGAAGTAGTGAATGCATGTCCTTTTGTTTTGTTTATTTAGCCAATCTGAGGAACTTAGTTTAGTGTTTGTGTATTGAACCATGTGAGAGAGATTGCTGCAATTTTGGCGCGTCAATGTCTGCTGTCTTCTTAGGATTGTGATTTTTTTTCCTGTGTTTGCTAGTTTTGCGCTTTCAGTCAGGCGTGTGTAAGTGTTGGGGTTGAACAGTTTTGGTTGAACTCAGTAAAAATGTTAATAGACCGTTTGATGAATAGGGTTTTGTTTGGTTTCTTTTATGTTTTTTAACTTAGTTCGGTTCGGTCCGAACCCTAGTAGGCTTGGTTTGCATAAAAATAGTGGTGGATAGTGTTGAGTGTCCGAGTTTTCAGTGTATCCGACCTCGGTCTGGCCCATTCGGATTTTCTGTCGGATTATCCTGACCTCGATCTTGTAAGGGTCAGGTACCCGCAGAACCCGTCGGTTCTTGTACATGTGGGGTAGTTGTTTGACATGGACAAATGGGGGGGGGGGGGGC